AAAAGAAATCCCACTAATGATATGAGGAATTGGACAAAGGATGACATTAATGATACCCACTTATATTTTGCTCTGACAGTTCATTTGAGATGTGTGTGTGTGTGTGTGTGTGTGTGTGTAATGTATTTCTTTGAAAATAGAAATATCTTTCTGAAGGAAGGCTTAGTTTTTTTACGACCAAAGCATAGCTAATGCAGCTTAAATAAGCAATAATTGGTGTTGGTAAAAACGTGTTTGAATATTAATTAGAAAGTTGGAAAATTTTGATGTTTAAAAGAAAAATATGAATTTACCAACATGAGGACTTCTTCCAGAACTTCAAATTGGGGTTCTTATCTTGAAAACAATAATTATTACTGTCATCGTTATTATTATTAACCAATGAAGTATTTTGTCTGCAAATGTTTCTATTGGGATTAAGTTACATGAAGAAATGTTTTTTAGAGAAAGATCTGGTACCAGTTAATTAACTATGTGCTCTGATTTTTTAAAAATAATCTTTATGGAGATAGAGAAGCTTAACAAAAGGCAACTGTTACTGATTAACCTAAATATTCTTTCTTGGTAGAAGTTTTAAATTTAGGATTCTTTAATTAGAAGCTAAGAAATTACCGGTCTACCTTCTGAACAATATATTCTTAAATCAGTAGAAGAAAAAGAATTGCATGATATCAAAGCAAGTGTACTATCAGTTATCCATTAATTTTTATTCTGTACTTTGGAACAGATATGAAATTAAAAATTAATAAATTAAAGGAAAGAAGTTGCCAATAAACAAATAATGGAAGGTCATGGCTTCCAAAATTTCACCAACTTTATTCTAAATATTTGATATGCCAATTGCATCATTTCCCAAGACGGTTCTGTAACTTAGGGGAATTTTAAGGAGACATTGATTAGAATTAACATATACATATAATATCACTTATAGAAAATCCATGTGGATGTTGATAAATGTACACTTATGAGGATTACTTTCATGGAAAGCCAATGAGCAACTATGAAAGAAAGGAAATTATTTGAAACCACGAAAGCCATACTTAGGCAACCATAAGGCACCACAAAGAAATCTCTTTTTTTCTAAATGCCTTCTAGGAAAACAGTGTCCAGGAATTAGATCCGACCTTCTTTCCCTGCCCTGGCTTTCTTGAGGTCTAACTAACAGACAGAAAAACTGCACACACATTTAATGCATACAATTTTATGAGTTTAGACACATACATACACTTGTGATACCATCACCACAATCAAGATAATAACCATTGGATCTAGTGTTTGTAGCATCTTTGATAAGGATAGACAGCTTTGTAGAAAAGCTTAAGTTGCTTTAAATATTTTTATGTCTTAAGAATATTGGAAATTTTATTACATTATGTGAGGGAGATCAGAGTGACCAGAGTGAAGATGTGACAATTATTAGGAAAATATCGGAAATAATAAATACTCTTCAGTCAGTGGCAACTGCAGTGAAGAACATTGACCTCTTATTTGTGAAGTTTGCAAAGTATGTTCCAGAAAACAAAGAGAAAATCCAAAGCAAACAAAAATACCTATCAGATGTATTCCAGCATTTTTAGCCATCTCCATTCTTACTTATTAAAAAAAAAGTGAAAAGTGGAGAATATCCTTGACAATGGAAAGCATTTTATGCCTGACATGCATTGTATCACTTAAATATTATGAATCCTGTCAATGCCTGTAATCAGTTCTCACATACATACGTGAGGATTCACATCGTTTCATGATTAGAACACTACATATTAGCATGCATTTCAGGAAACATTATTGCATTTGGGCTCCAAAAGTGAAAATCCTTGGAATTTGAAACTGCATATGCCAAAATCATCTTGGTCAAAAGATTCACAATATCCATTGTGAAATATATAAAATATGTTTAATATAAAATAATCTCCATTTCAAATAAAGCAGATACATATCAATATTAAGAAAGCAAAGAGCTGAGCCTAATGTTGGAGATCTCCCACTGACACATCACTCCCTAGTAAGATATAACCACTGAAGGATGATCACATGAGACTTAACAAAGGGCCACATATGGCCCTGGGTTTAGTTATTAATGTATTGAATTATGTTTTTATTCTAATTGTTTCTTCTTTACTCTTCTATGCTTAAGGGATATGCTCATATAAATGACTGCAAGATAAATAAAGCTGACAAACACAAGTGACTGTATCTTTTGGCATTAAGATAATTATAGATCATTACATGGTAGGAATAGTCAATAGCCCCAAAGTAATATGATTAAATAAAGCACTTTAAAACTGTAATTCACCTAGCCTTTTTAATATTTTACTATTTCTTCTTTGTTGCTCCAAAGCTATGAATTTTAAGATTTATTTGTCACTACTCTCTATATTTTCTGCTGTACACACTATTTGTGGGCTATGGCAACCAATCCCCTTGGGCTTGCTTTTGCTTTAATTTGCATAAACACAGGCATCATATGAATATTCAGTGAGTGGCTTTGCATTAAGTAAGTGCCCTTAATCAGCTTTTCAGTTCAGTTTTATTGGTTGCACGCACAGTCAGTTATTTCATCCAGAAAATCTGAAGGCCCTACAAACTAACCAGGTAAGGATTGTAATTCCTTGATGCATTTAATGAAAGAATATTATCATTTGATTACATAGGTTCTGGAGAATGCTAAAAGCATGGTGGGTTTTTTTTTTTCCCTGTGTTTTTTTCTTCCCTTGGTGGTCAGGTGGGTGCATGATTCTCTAATTTGCATAAACATCAGATCTATGAATAATTCATCAGGGTTATTTTAAACACTAGGCTTCTACTTTGGATGGCACTAGGGTACCGCCATTTGATTGGCTGAATGCTGTTTTCATCACCAGCAGAATTCCTATAACATGAAAGCACCTAAAGGGGCTGAATTGAATATACAGTATTTGTTTTTTGAAAAATGTCTGTTATCTTTTCAAAGCAAATTGTGCTCTTCTCTCCCTCCCTAACATTAGAACTTGTAGCTTTTCATGATAAATACATTACAAGCTCAAATGTGGCTACCGTTTGTAGACTTGACCGGTATCTATGATTTCTGGAGAATGGGGTAGCAGCTGTATTCTTCTAAACATGCATAAACATGAGCGACATGTAAATAAGAAACTGTCACATGCATATGGAGCCCTGAACAGCTCCATCGCTAGGATCCATCTATTTCTCTTTATCAGAATATTCTCTGAATAGATAACTTTGAGGCTCTTTCATCAATTTTAAAATGCCATGGACAATTATGGCACTGTATATGCATATAGTAAGCATATATGATCTGACAAATTATTTCTTGCGTAATATTTAATTTATAGTTTCCTCTCAGCCCACCTACAGATTTTTAAATTTAGTAGTTCCTTGCCATATGATAGTGACAGGAAAACTGTTAATTAAGAATGACCAGCTAATTAATTATTAGGGTGTAACTCACTCCCACGATTTACTAAAAATAAATTATGCCTTTATGCTTGTGGAGATGAGGAACACACAGGTTTACATCATTCTTTGTTAGTTACTTGAACATTAGCCATTTGCATTTCTGGTCTCAGAGTCCTCACTGACAAGATTCTCACTGTAAGCATTTGTGATCTTGAAACATTACAGAAATAGGAGATTGGGGGATGGTATAAATTGAATTTACTCTTTGGCACATTCCATTTTTGTTTTCCTACTTCATACAGGAATGTATCACAAATAAGATGTTGAACAATTACTGTTATGAAAGGTATAGGAATGACATGTATAATCAGTCTGTGTAATCAACTAAAAAGTACTTCAAGTTCATTGTATTTTCTATATATTATATGGATAAAAATACCAAAGGCATCCTTAACAACTAACAAAAAAGGCTGAAAATTTCTCAGTATTTCATAGGTTTGCCACATAATTTTTTAAGTTTACTCTAAATCAATATTACACTGTATTATTTTTCAGTCTTTTTATAAACAGTATTCAAATATGAGCTTCATATGATGCTGAAGCTGAAGAAAAATGACAACCTTTTCATTTCCTTTTCTAGCTCTCTATAAAGCTAATGATAGTGTTGGACTAGTTTCCATTTCTCTTTACTTGAATTATTTGTAGTTAGATGAGGGTCTTTCTTTCTTTTTTCTCTCTCTCTCTCTTCCTTCCTTCTTTCCTTCCTTCCTTCACTACCTCCTTCCTTCCCTTTTTCTTTCCTCCCTCTCTTCCTTTTTTTCTCTCCCTTCCTCCCTCCCTTTCTCTCTCTTTCTTTCCTTCTCTATATCTTTAGAATCAATACGCTAAAAAAATATTTTTGAGATAATATTCCTTCAATCAGAATCAACTTTCATGAGCAAATTTGACATATTTATTATTTTACCTGTTGACAAAATACTTTATAATAAATGATATGGAAAAAGGAATTCAAAACAAAAATTGTTTAAAATGAGACAAAATTGCAAATATCTCTCAGAATCCCATGTACTTATATTAGCAATTTTGTTTTACATTTAATTATAAATAATAATATTAATCTCACATCTACAGTGTGCTATATTTAATTAAATCTTGCAGGATTCAGTATGGATGCTGTTTATTTAATTATCAGCCATTAAATGTTTACAGCTATAATAAAGAGCAAGCAATCTTTACTATACTATATAGAGATTATAGATTTGGAACTAATTAACCAAACATTCTCATTCAAGTGATGCTCATTCTACTGAATACTTCCAATGTGAAATCAGCTAAACTTACATTTCTTCAATATTTAGTCCTTTCACTTGTTTCAAAACAATCAAAATTATTTTCTAAACAAGAAATTAATAGTTATAATTTCAGAAAAGATCTTATCCTTCTTTAGATCTATGACAGCATGTTTATAATTCTATTTTAGGTACATATAATTTTGTGCTTTTACCCTTTATATTATTTGGAATAATAACTGAAGCTCTTTTGAAGAAAACATATTTTAAATGAAGTTGGAAACCACCAAGATAGTGAATGACCACAGAATTTACCTTTCATTTCAGTAAGAGATTCTTCCTAGAAGGGCAGCAGGCATCTTGTATTGCATAAGCTTTGTATAAAGAAAACAAAGCATTTGTTTTAAATTTTGGAAAGTAATCATCACAAAAATATAATTAAAATTATAACACATTACATTCCTAAGGAAAAAAAATAATTTGTATCTTTCAAATAGTCTCATTTCATGTAGTGCTTTTATATTTTTAGACATCTAAGAAGAAAAGCAGTTAGGTATATGTTTATACTGTCATTTAAAAGACATGTTTCATTAAAAAAAGATTTTTTAACATCTGATCACTCTGTATTTGGTGGATAAAAAATAAACATTCAGATAATGTTATCTGTAATGTTTCCATCCTCAATGTAATCTTCTGATTAAAACTGTCAGAAAATTGTCCAAAAATTTTTTTCATGGGGTTTAAGCTATTAAAGCTGTGTATATGTCATTACTAAATCGATTGGTAGTTAAGGAAAATTGCAACCAACCAGTGCTTTGATCTATATAAAATAAAACCTGGATTGGTCTACTTAAGTTGAAGCCGTAAACTTATCTGTACAAGGAACACTTGGCTGTACAGAAGTTTTGGAACTGAATATCACCTTAAGGCAAGAGATATCAATTATCTTTTACAGATCCCCTAGCAAGTTCACGCATCCTTATAAAAGACTGAATGTTCTCAATAAATCTAGGATGTCCTTTAGGAGTTCTTAGTCTAATTGACATGACCCATATACAAATCTCTCCACCCAGTGTCACTCTTCTCCAAGGAACCCAATCATTCACATTGGCAAATATACTTGAAATTTTCTTTTCATTTTCCTGAAATAATACTGTTTAAATCTAGACAGAATAGACCAAGTCTTGTTTAATAACACTGTGTGTGAGTTATCCCATTAAGTTTCTTAGTATAGAGGAGGCCAAGGAGGAGGAAAGGAGATGACAAATTGGCTTACTTTTGAGTTCTCTTATTCTGATTGGAGTTCCCCTCAACTACTCTGGTGGCTTGACTCTATTGGTTAAAATTTGTATACTCAAAATACTTTAATGGGTAGGGTTTGCAAAGTTATTGGGTAATGAATTCATAGCTATTCTTATAATATAGTCCTTGTCATATTTAGGTTATCAGCCAATATCAATAAAGATGCTACTGGCTTAGGTAGTCTATATTTTTATTAAATTTTAAGTTCAGACTTTGTTTGCAATTTCCTAAGTACCACTGACCCAGTGGCACTCTGAACTTAGTGGTGAGGAGAGCAAAAAGTATTTATAACTAAAATTCTATTTTAAAGGTTATTTTTGAGGGAACTAAAACATTTTCAGTCTTCTATCATACCATTTATGAAGGACATATATGATATATTGAGAATCTTCCTGGGATGATTACTTAAAATAGAGCTGTAAGGAGAAATTTTAACAAGAGGCTCTTTTAGGATTATCATGTGTTCTCTTGTTAGCATAGTGTATTACATTTATAAATTTTTTTTTATCGTGACTCTTGAACAAATTACTCTGGATTCAAAGAGTACTATATTCAGTGTTTTTGCCTTTCTAATTTTAAGTGAGGCTGATTAAAAAAACTGGTTTTTTTTTGTCAAGTTTTAGTATCAAAATTATATTAACCTTATGAAATGTGTTGAGCAGATTTCCTCTTTTCTCTGACACAGGTTGTATATGAATTATCTATTTCTTCAAGTTTTGCAAAAATGCCTATAAATCTAACTGGGCCAGGCATCTTTTGAGGGGAATGTTTTTTTCTTCTTGATTCAAGTTCTGGAGTGGTAGTGATCAATTGGGTTATTTCTTCCTGTATGTATTTTGATCATTTATATTTTTTCTAGAAAAAGGTTCTTTGCACCTAACTTTCAACTTCATTAACATGAACTTTTTCATTGCATTTTCTTATGATTTATAAAATGTCTACTATATGTGTGACATGTCCCTTTTTACATTTTGTATTTTATCTATTTGTGATATTCTATTTTTTTCCCTCGGTCACTCTTGCGAGTAAGCGGTTTATCTGTTATCAATACTTTCAAGAAGTAGTTTGGGGTCATCTATATCATTTCCTTCTCTTTAATTTCATTCATTTCTATTTTTATAGCTTTGTGACCTTTAGTTCCTGAGAAATTGTTGCAAAGCTTTGCTCTAGCTTCAAAATTCTGTGGTTCTATAAAAAGTTATCCTATGTTTAGAAGCCATTGGAACACTCATATAAACAGAAAATGGAGTGGGATGCTATTACTAATTTGGTGAACTTTTTATGTAGAAACCTTTTATCCTAAATAACCACCACCAGACCATTTCATAGGGCCATCAGCAGACTTTAGCCTTGGAGGCAATCTACTTGGAAAGACACCTATTCTGCTATCCTGATAACATGATTTTTCTTAGTGACTTTTTAAAAACTGTATCATTTCATTTTGACAAGAGCTCAAATAGTCCACAAAATAGTATTTGAAATATGTTGTGCTCACAATTAAACACAATTACCTTAATTTCTTAGAAAGTATTTGTGAAAAGTTCACAATGCAATACACATTTTATATATTTTTAATTTTTACAATAACATTTATTTACTTTTGAGAGAGAGAAAGACACAGAGTATGAGCAGGGGAGGGGCAGAGAGAAGGGAAACACGGAATCTGAAGCAGGCTCCAGGCTCTGAGCTGTCAGCACAGAGTCCAATGTGATGCGAGCCTCGAACCCATGAACTGTGAGTTTACGACCCAAGCTGAAGTTGGACACCCAACCGAGTCATCCAGGCGCCCTTGCAACACACAATTGTTTTAGACTCACACAGAAGATCACTAATCTACTTGGGATTTTGTGTTTTACTTTCTCCATTTTGTGAGTGGACCACTAACACAAAATTATCTTAAAATCAGATAAAGCTAATGAAAAAGTGCATCAGTATTCTACTCTGCTTGCTTTGATAGTATTTTCTTAGTAAAATCCAATTCATGCCCTTGGTATTTTAACATTAAGTTAAGTTAAATTCTCAGTTAATAGACACACATAAAAATCACAGACTGAATTTTTACTTGTTTCAAGAGTTGGTTTTTGTTCGCTTATGTGATTGTTTAGTTGCCTGTTCAAAAATTCTTCTAGAATGAACTGGTATGAATACCAATGTGTATTCTTCCCTCTAAGCCTGGTAACATGATAAGTCATTTGGTGTAAACAAATGCTGCAGTCAAAGCTACCTGTTGGAAATATTTTAAGTTCCATACACATTTATTTTTTAATTTTTAAGTTTATTTATTTATTTTTAAGAGAGAGAGGCAAGGGAAGAGAGAAAGGGGGACAGAGAATTGGAAGCAGGCCCTGTGCTGTCAGCAGAGAGCCCAGTGTGGGGCTCGAACTCACAAACCATTAAGATCATGACCTGAGCCGAAGGCAGATACTTAACGGACTGAGCCACCCAGGTGCCCCAACTACAGAAATATAATGAAATAAATTCCAAAAAGAAAATAAGAACTTTCTGGAGAAAAGGTGTTTTATAGAATATAGTAACCTTGTGGAATATGGTAACCTTGACTGACAGCTATGACATTAGAATTTTGTCATCAGTTATAGCCTCCTTACACTTTTTAAAATTTATACTATATGAATGTGACCTACTTTAGTTAATTTTTTAAAAAGGCTCTGATTAATTTATCTGCTTTTAAAATGTAAGTAAATTTGAGAAGAGGAAAATAATTATTCAAATGCTAGTGCTATATACAAGTGGTCAAACGTAGGAAAAACTTTATTTTAAATACAAATCATACATTACTGAGATGTTTTAGCCATGATTATTTTCATTCCAATGTGATCAATTTCACATTTCCTTCTTAACATGATTTCAAGAGCAACTTTCTACTTATTTCAAGGTCTGTAAATTGTTTAGTTCAATATCTCGTTCCCAGATATTTGTATCAAAATATGTCTGAGCTTGCACCTATATTTTCACATTAAATTAGACCATTAAACCTAACTTCAAATACCCAACTCAGTGATTCTTTTTCTCTGAGACTACCCAAATTCCTTTGCCACCAATTTTGAAGTCTTCTGGTTACAGTGAGAAGAATTTTGCCTACCAACAGACTATTTTAATAAGTCACATAAAGTACCCTGGAGAGAATCTGATTTCACACAGAACAGAGAATAAAGTCTCAATAGTGGTTGTTTCTTGATATCTCTGAGACAATAAATGATGTTTTAAAAGTAGTAATATCAAGATTTTGGGAGTTTTTACTTATAATTAACTTACCATACCTTTGTGCAACCTGATAGGATTTTTACTTGATGGCAGATTTGTGTGACATAGTGGAACAAGCTGGGAAGAGAGTCAAATCCCATACCAAATCTTGCAATTATATAAGGACTCTCCTGGAAAAGAGTTCTCATTCTTTTATAAGTACAATGCAGTATTATATTACCAGTATTTATATTTTATAAATAAAGCATAGAATGTCTTCTATCTTCCTGGTTTTTTTCTTTGAAAAATAAACAATAAATAACTTTCTCTAAGTACTGAGCCTCACGTGAGGCAATCTGTTAAAGGGCAGTCACAATAAAAAAAATAATAATAAAAACATTGCTTTGAAATACTTTCTTCTTTATGTCAAAATTTGTAGGTTTTTTCTCTTTATGTTACCAGAAACATAGAAGAATCTTGTATTAAGTGTTCATCTGCTTCTTCTGTTCTTGTCCACCTAATAGGTTAGTCTTTGATAATTGTATAAAATAAATTTTACTGAGGCTGATTATAATATGCCAAACAATAGATGCAAGCAAGAGAAGAGAATATGAAGCAATAGCAAATGATGAATTTTTAAAAAATCAAAAAACATCCCTTTCATCTAAATGCTTAGGGGAGGGTGTGGGGAGAGAGAAAGGAAAGAATATTGCATTATCTACATGCAAAATAATGAAGTGGATGTTATCTTACAAAAATTAACTCAAATGGATTAAAAACCTAAATGTAAGACCAAAAACTATAAAACTCTTAGAAGAAAACATAGGGATAAAAGTTGATGACATTGGATTTTACAAATATTTCTTTGATA